CCGTATCCTTTTGGATGCTTTCTAGTCTCACCTGGTTCTACCTATGGGCGAAACATCAAATCAAATGCGGTGAACCACTTCGGGCGATTCCCTCGTAAGTGATATCAGTCCAAACGTGCAAAATAAAATTTTCATTTAACATTGAGAAAAAATATTTTTGAGTGAATGTTTTGATTGGTTTTTATCTTGCATATTCAACAACTAAAACGATAACGTGTTTATAGAGAATTGACAAAGATATCGATAAAGTAATTAACGGTTTAATTATTCTATGATCTCTGTTAAGTTTTAAAAAACAGTGAATATTTATAGAAATCAATGTAAAAGACTTGAATATGCAAAAACAAAAAAAACATTTTATTAATAATAGTTCCAACTTAGAAGTTAAATCAATTCTAATTGTTAAGAACATTTCGAAATGTCAATGTGACATATATTTTTGTTCAAAACTTTTTCTTTAGTTACGTAGACATACAGGTATAGTATTATTATTATTATTCCTGTTCTAGGTCGAAGTTTTATGTAACCATATCCTTCCTTACTGTTGGATAATGAATAAAAAATTTAAAACTAAAGTATTATTTTCTGTTCTATTGTATTTTCAAAGTAATAAAGTGTTTTTTTTAAATAATTCTTCAATGTAGAAATCAGACTTATTGTTTAATACTAAATGTACTTTGTTTTTTTTGTTTAGAACTATTATTAAATTGAAAAAATTTCTCTTCATTAAATAATTCAAGAACTAATCTTGTTTCCATCTCTTATTATACAATATAAATTGTATGGTTTTTTTTCACTTTACAACGGCAGTATTTTGTCTATCTTCGAAACAAACTTCTCTAATTCATTTTATCAACCGAAGAATTTATCTTAACACAAGGTAACTATACGACTTCATATTTGATCGAAAAATATGAAGAAAAACGATTAATAAACATCGAACATAATATCTTTCATGTAATGATTCTTGGCACTTTCGTTTAGCCGAACTATTAAAAAAGAAATTCATTGTTTTGATTAGGAATAAAGCTGTGTAACATAGACTAGAATTAAGAATTTATATAGTAAATTATTTTGTAATACTTGTAGTCGTGATATGAATACAGATTTATATTCTCAACATTTTTATGATGTGTAAATAATTTTCCTGTTTTTTTGTTTCTTTCTTAATGATCATTCATTGTCATGAACAAGGAGTACATGAACTGAAGAAAAATTCTAGAACAATTTAAATATGATATTTTTGCGTAAAAACAACTTTAGAATTGTATTATATCTAGTTCTTTTTTTATTATTATTGACAATAGATAGTGGAAGTTGAAGTAAATAGTCATTGATAAATCATTTAAATTAAACTTTCGTTCATCTAGAACAACATTGTCTGAAATGTTTTTGTTTTTTGTTTTATAATACTAACGAAGACAATAAGTAGAATTAGAGTTTTTTTTAATTAGTTATCAACATCTGCTCGCAGTAGGAATGTAAACAGATTTTGTTAATTATGATTAATTTTTGATTCCACTTATTGTCATTTTGTTGGATTCATTAGATTTCAATTAAAACTAAGTCATTTCTGATATTATTTTTGAAGAAAAACAATTATTTCAATTAAATATTTTGTAATTATTTATTTTCCTTAAAGTTTTTTACTTTCCATTTTAAGTATATATCACTCAAAGGTAGGACATAAAAAAAAAGATTCTGTTTTTTAGAATGTTTGTTGTTTAATTTAGGAAAAGTTTTTTAAGTGATTCTTCGTTTTAGATCCATGAATCGAAGATAAGAGGCAATTCATATACACTACGATTGATCGAGCTCAAACAAGATTCTCACATCTCGTTGAATTTCAGATGTGTGATAAGGACAAGAGTTTTATCAACTTTGACATCAAGTGCTTTACAAAATATTGAATCCTCAGTTGTTGTTTTTATCATTCTTTTATCAAAAGCTCTCAAAATGAATACTCAAACTATAGAGAACATTACAATCTGGATAACTTGCGAACAGATTGATCGAGCAAACTGAAATTTTTTATGAATCTATTTAACAGTTTACTTAGAATAAAATCTTCAACACAAGATATTGAATCTTTGTGTCCTATGAATTTTGTTTGTTTAGGCAAATTCAATACTTTATAATCTCTTGATTAGTGAGAGATAAAGACTTGTACACATCTCAGCTTGGTTAGCATGACCTTGTCAAAAGCAGAGTTTCCACGATAAGTCGAATTTTCACTTGCTGCTACTTTTCAAAAATACCTATTGTATAGAGAGCTGATATTGATGAATTAAAGTTTCGGTCTGTGATCTACAAATTTAGAAAATAATCAACATGAGACCTCAAAAAATGATGAAGAGCAAGTTCAATTTTGGCAGCCCTAATGAGGAGATTATTGGGTGAGTGACTCGATACCTGCAATTCTAATATGTAAGGAAATGTTGCTTGAATTTTTATATTTAAGAAACTTTTGATGGGTTATACAAAAGTATTTTATTATAGATTAAAATTTTAGGTTCAGGACTATGAACTCGTAGGCCACAAATTGAATTTGAAATCTATCGCTACCATCTTTCAAGTCTACACACGTATTTCGACGAATAGTAGCGAATAAAAATCAGAGTTTTCATTAAAAAAAAACCCGAATTTGGCCGAGTCATTATAATAGAATACAACGTTTAGTAGAACTAAAATGGCTAGTGAAAATACATCTATACTTCAAATTTCAGATCGCTATCTGCTACCAAGCACAAGATATGAAGGTTAAAACTTGTCCAAATTATTCAACTTTGCCCATGTGAGTGAAAGTCATAGAATATTAAGAGCTCCAGAATATGAGCTGAAAATTTTACCATGGGTAGAAAATGGTTTGCTTGAAAAGTCATCAAAATGTTGTCGTCATCACATAGTTAAAATTGAACAAGGTTTCAAAGCAGCGGTTGAGCAGATGTATTTAGTTGTCGATCACGCAAACTTCAGTAAATTAAGAATTAAAGCTTAGTTTTCTATGCAAAAAAAAACATGAATATTTTATACATAATTCAAGTGATTTAAATAGTTTTTAAATAATATGTTACTAAGGTGTCAAAAATGCAAAAATCAGAATAGGAGTTTTTTTTCACATAGTTGAATAAATACTATGTCAAAAACCCTTTAAAAAAATTTTCCATCGAAATACATTGAGAATAATAACAGTCTTATTCATTATGTAAAATTGAACCTACTATTATTAAAAATAAAATTTAATCCAAAGATGAATTCGATAAAAATAGCTACTATGGCATCATATAAAACGATCTATTTTTTTTTTCTTGAGAGAAAAAAAAAGATTATTTCTAAGGAATTATAATAAGCATCCCTAAGGGAGGAAGATTACGTAGAGATTTTATTTTATTTATAAGCACAATATATGTGATATTTGCAATCAGTATAAAAGATTGAATTTAATGATATATGTTTCAACGAAAAATATTTTCTAGTGAAATTCTACTTCTGGTCGATCATCGATGAAATTTATCAAAAAAGGTCCTCAGTTTTTGATGTTAAATTCAAATATCATATATATTTTTCTCATAGATAAAATTATAATAGTCGAATATGAGTACACTTTTGTATACTTATACGGTATCGATTTGCTTAATAATGGAGTAGTATTTTCAATAATCTCTACATAATCTTCTGTCTATAGAAGTGCTTATTATAAGTCCTTAGAAATAATATTTTTATCTCTCAAAAAAAAGAAAAATAGATAGTTTGACATGATAGCATAGTAGCCTTTTCTTTTTTTCAAGTTTACATTTCGGATCAAATTTTATTTAAACAATATCATGTTCATTTATCAAATCATTTATTAAAAACAAAAATCTTATTCTAATTTTAAATTTCTACAAGTAATAACACACAACTTATGAATGACTGTCTTCTAATAAATGTTTGGTTCCATATAACAGTATCCCGAACAAGATTTATTATTCTAGGGTAGGCTGAACATTTTTGTTTTTTTAATAAGATCCTTATCTGATACTTATAAATAAGAGAATATAAGTTGTTTGAATACTACTTAAATGAAATTCTCTTTTATCGAACTCATATTTTGCAACATGTACTACTAATACAGATTAGAAAAAAAAATCACATGAAATTATATATATTTATCCAAATCCGACTTTTGAAAGAAAAGATTCTTATCTTGTTTATCGGTCAAAACAGAAATATTTTACAGAAAACAAAAAAAAAATGTAATATTGTGAGCTTCTTCACTATTAAAAATGTGTTACTAGCTATGTAATCTTATTTGCCAAAGGCAAAAGAAAATTTTTCAAGAATCTATTTAATTTGACTTAGATTTTTCAAGACAATTCTTCTTCACTCATAATGAAGAACTTTCCACTTCTCGTCATGGTCAATGTATCATTCAATATTTTCTCAAAAAAAAAACCTTTTCTAAATCTTCTTGATTCAAAAAATGTTATTATTAATCATTGAAGATGACAAAAATTATTGATGTTTGTATAAAAATCCATCAATTTGATAGAAGAAGATAAATGTTTGAGTCTACATAGCGTAAATCTAGAATAGTCTTTTGGTTCGGCCGAATATGTTTATCAATAAATATATACAATGATCTTGTTGAACTCAAAACAAAAAAAATAAAGAAATAATTAAAATCGAAAATGATAATATTTCAATTGAGAGTAACCATTTGAAATATTTATTGTAAACTCAATTATAGAAGATCAAACAATACAAAAAATATGTTAGTTACTTGAACCATTTTAATAGATATCTACGATTTGTTTTTTTTAATTTTCTTATAGTGAATATTTTTATTTACTATAAACTTAATGTTTTGAATATACTTTAAGAACTTATTCTAAAGTCAATTATATCAAATAAACTATTGTAAATTATGATAAGAAAATCGGTCTCAATGGATGTATGTTTAAAGATAAAAGTCAGAAAACTTTTTGTAGAATGTCAAACAAAAGAATTTAGTGATTGACTTTTATTTCTATTATTTTAGATTTATACTTATATTATTACAAAAATAAAATGAATTTTTGGTCTCTTATAAATATTATATTAAATTTTATAACATTATTTAATTTAATAATAACAATTACAATTTGTATATTTATTTTTATACTTATCATAATTTTTCATCGACATAATCTAACAGTACCATTATTATTAGCTTGTCATACATGTTTAACTTTATTAATATCTTCAATTATATTATCTAGTATGATTATATCAAGTTTATTTGGATTTTTTGATATTATTATGAAAGAACATGGATATACAATATGGTGTCGTTGGCGTGGTTTTCTTATTCATGGATTTCTTTGTGTACTTTATGATTCATATGTTTTACAAGCAACATATCGACTTATTCGAGTTGTTTTCTATCGAAAAAAAATTTTACATACATTTCCTCTTTACTGTCTTGTTATATTTATTGAATCATTATTTAGTTTAATAAGTATATCGCCTGTTATAATTCGTGGTGATGTTATTTATCTTTCATCTGAATATTATTGTCAAACACCATTTACAAATTTGCCAGCTATAATATATATAGCTATTCGTCTTTTTCTATTACCTATTTTATTAATTACAATAATTTATATATGTATATTAAATCATATTCATCAAACAAATTTACGTTCAAATCGATATCATCGTCGATTAAAACATAATAAAAGAAATTTAATTGTTATACGACGACTTCTTTTAATGTTAACTATTCTTATATTTCTAGGTTTTCCATCAATTATATTTTTAATTATTTTAATATTTACTAAACATCTTGTATTATTAACATATAGAATTGGTTGGTTATCTGTTTCATTTTCACTTGTTTTTCTTGCTTATATGCTTATACAACTTACAAGACCATTAAAAAAAACTATGAGAAATTTTTTTTTTCATCATGAAACATCATCATTTATCTAATAAATAATAACAATAATTGAATAGAACATAAGTTAAAATATTTTTCTTTTATTTTTTTTTGTCATTTAATTTATCAAATAAAGCTCAACTATTCATAATCTCTTATGAATAGAATGTTGATTTAATACAAACGGAAAAGAAAAACGAACAATTATGACAATTAATATTTTTCTTTCTTAATACATGAAATTCTTATGAATTAAGTGACTAGATAAGAAATAATAAAACATAACTCATATATATATATATATAAAATAAGTTTTCTGACAATAAAAAAAAAATATTTAATATATTGAAATTATAATACATATAATAATTTTTCTTTTTTTTTTTTTTTTAGTTTTCTCTTACATTGAACAAATTTAAAATAATGATAAAATCTATAAGTAATTTATTTAATATTGTCTTCTTTTAAAAAATGCATATTTAGTAATAAGAATAAGACAAAAAAAAAAAAAGCTATAGATAAATTTTTTTCAAGATAAAAAGTCATTATTGTGTAATTATTTGACTATTATCAAATATCACTTCCATCACCAATAACAGTCATATGTTTAACAAGTATTTTACGTGTTGATTGTTGTTGTTGTTGTTGTTGTGGTTGTGGATCATTTTCTACAACTTGTGCATGTATATTTTCTAATTCAACAGTACGATGTAAAGGTGCAAAATCAATTTTTTTTGGTACCGATACTGGTGGTGATGTTGGTTCTGTTGACATCGTGTTTTCTTCTTCTATTATTACTCTTCTGTATAGTGAATAAGTGAGTATGTGTATATTTACTCTTAATACTATACGAAGTAATTCTTTATGAGCGGAAACAAGAACGACAGAACAAGATCAAACCACTTTTTTTTTTTTTTTTTCTTCTTCTTCTATTTCTTCGGCATTTTCTATTACTAGGTCCGTTTCTTTTTGGGAATACTCAGTCGGGATTGATGCATAGTGTCATTCTTATTATCGTTAACTTAATAAACTTAACGAGCATCCTTTATGAATGCGTGCATATATAGATATATATTGTGAAAGTGAAAAAGCTACATAGTTTTTTTGAATGAAGTCTAAGAAAACTGAATGGATAATCAGTTCAATATTATCAAAATGGTTTTTTGTAATTATTTGTAAATGAATGAATAATTAATATTTATTTTTTATTTACTAATAAATTATTAAATAAAGTCAAAAATAGCAACAAGAAAAAAAAATGAATGATGAGAAAATATATTAATGATTTTTATAAGTGAAATGACGTCGTATTATTTATTGTCGAAAAATATTGTATTCATAAAAATTACTCTAATGATTTTCTTTATACATGTATAACAAAAAAAAAAAAATAGTTAAGACAATTTCGAATGAAAAAATATACGAATATCTTTAACATGACTAAGAATTGCTTTTGAAAATTAAAATTATTCGATTAATAGGTTTTCTTTTTTTTTTTTGATGAAGTTATTTTCACATGAATTCTGATAGAAAAGTTCAACTAAGTAAGAAAAAAAACATTTTGATGATAATGTAGATCGACACTATTTGATTATATATTCAAAATGAATATGTCAAGTAGAAAAAAAAAAAGTAGTCTCATGTTTATTATCAAGTGCTAAAACTCATTTTATACAGTTGTTTAATTAATAATAAGTGGAATTTTTCACAGACTTTTTTTTTAATATCAAGTATTACTTTTCTTCTATGATAAAAAATTGTAAAGTGACCTTATTACTAGCATGATAATTCAAGTCCGATTTTTTTTTCCAAAAAATAATGAGATCAATATTTAATTTTTTTTTTCTACGATTTAAAAGTCAATAATGTCCTAGAAAATAGTAGATCTTTAATGTTTGATTTACAAGGTAGTACGACAAATATTAGCAGAATTATTCATCATGTCTAAATTGACATTTTGTTTTTTTTTTTTTTATGAAGTATTTAGTTGAAAGTTTTTATTTCTTCTTTTTATTATAATGAATGAAATTGTGTTTTATTATTTTAATTAATTTATCTAATAGATAATTTTCAAAAAAAAATTTGTTGAAATTCTTTTATCAATAAGAGAAAAAAAAATAATAATTTATTCAATATTATGAATGAATTTTTCATAATGTTAATTCATCGAACTTTTAAAAAAAAAACAACAAGTTTGAAAAGTAAAATTTCAATCATAATAATACGTATACTACGAATAATTAACATGTGATTATCATTGTAGAATAATAATAGCTAATTAAATATTTGCAAAAGAATTTAATAATTTCATAATAATAAATCAAGATAATAAAGATATTTATGAATTGACTTTAAAATTAGTCGAAAAAGAAAAAAAACAAAAAAATTCCATTATTAAATAGTACTCATAAGAATCGACACTAAATCAGTACCGATCAGAAAACAACTATCAAATACATGATGGTGGAATAGCAATTACAGAATAACGAATTATTTATACATACAATTATCGTCTATATAACGTACATTGTGTCAATGATTTATGTGTAGTTTGAATCACATAGGTACTTTTAAAAGTACTATTAACTTTCATTTTCAGCTATTAAATTGAAGTTAATGTTTTCTAACATCTCGTATTATTTTCCTCTATTAATTGTCATTAAGAGTTTTGTTTAACTTCCTATTGTGATTAAAACCGGATATAAACCATCTATAAATCATCCGGTATAATATCCATTATCCCGGCGGTACGGCTAACAAATACACAACATGAGTTCAATAGTCGAAATCAGCAAGACATGTACTTAGTTTTATATTATATTTTCTAATCTAAGATTAGTTGTTGAAATCATATTCTTAAGACTAAAATACATCTATTTTTATAGTTCATTAACATTACATTCTATTAATTTCTAATAATTGTAGATTTCCGGTAAGACAAATGAATAGAAAAAAACATAAAGAATAACTCAGTTGTATGATACAATTATGCATACTTGAATATTTCAATTGAGTTTTTTAATGAATAGAACAAAAACAAAAAAGAAATTTTAATGCAACTTACGAATATAGAATATTTTTATTTCTATTCAAATATTAATTTTATTACAATATAAAAACATTTTTTTTTTGTTATCAAATGTAATATTTTATAACAATTAAAAAGATAAATTTCATATATTTATTATTTTTGTAAGTACTACTTTTATTTTTGATTGATTCAACACATTGATAATCAACTAATTGTTTTATAATATTTTGTCAAAAGTATTAGTGTACTATTCTCATTCAATTTTGCCAATAATATTTTTTCCAATAGATGACGATATTATTTATTTTCTTCATTTTTATTCTATAATTATCAAAACATAACTATTATGTTTTATGATCAATTCATTGAAATTTGTTTTCAATGATAAATTCTCAATATTATTAATTTATAAATAATACAAGAAGGTTAATTAATTCTATTTGTTTACAAAATTCTTTCTTCTATAATAAAACGAATTAAATAAAATCACATTAAACAAAAACTAAAACTATTAAAAAGATATTATCTAACGAAGAAATATTTCGAATCTCTTTTTGAGTCAAAACTTTAAATATCAAATAATGCATTTCAAAAAAAATCTGAAATTTTTAAAATAAACTATTTTCAATAACGCCTATGTCTGTGCAAACTTTCAACTTGAAATCAAAAAACCTCAATTTTCTAAGTGTTTATCAGGAACATCACGGCATTTTGCTGAAAAGTACGATATCTTCGTAGTAATAAGCTAAGGACATGAACTCTTTTCCGAGTATTTATAGCTCATTAGACGCTAGATGATATACATAGTCTTGTCTCAAAAGTAATTTAATACTGAAAAACATTCTCGAATTCTATAAAAACTAAATTATATACATTATATTATAATAAATCATTGGTATAAAGAGAAAGTGTAATTTGCATAATAACGAATCTGATATAATTGGTTTCTCAAAAGAGGCAGCTAGAATTTTCCTTAGAATATTTCAATTGTTATCTATTCGTAATTATTAATAATTCTCTGAAAAATGTTACAATTTATTGAAATAGTTTTTTTTGTTAAATAAAAATACATTTTCTCAATACTTATATTTATAATCGAAAGAAATAAAAAAAAATTTCTTATAAAGATAAATTGAAAATCAAAACCTTTGAATAAAGTCATTAATTTTAATTTTTCATAAAAAAATATAATATCTTTTTTTTTTGTCTTTACTTAATCTCATTTGGATTATCAAATAAAATATCTTTTGTTTTTCTTGCATGCTGACAAATCTATGATAATTGTGGTCAATATAACTCAGTTTTATTATTATATGAATTAATAAAACAATAATGAATATGAATCTTAACTTTTTTGTTTAATTTTATCATTTTTCATTTAAATATGATTCTTGTTATCGATATTGATTATAATACGATTATTTCAAAAAGAATTATTAAGTTAGTAAACATAATACATAATGTTAATCAATATCGGAGATACCTTGTGAGTTTACTAAAACACAAAAAAAAAGAATGCTTAAATTTTTATTAACAAAGAGCACCAGGTGCAATTTATTACGATACGATTGTTATCTTGTAGATCATACGGTAGCGCAATGTAAAATGTCCTTGATAATAAGGTTCTCAAAAAACAAATGTCCTTGAACTCTTTGATGATTAAGCTCGTGAATTTATGTTTTCATAATTTGAATAGAGAATGAAGACGAAATATAATATAACAAAATTTTGAAATATTTGTTGTGTTATGACATAGATACCACTGGTAATAACATAACATCTTTAAAACAAATCTAAATGCAAATAATTATAATATTCAAATAATTTTTAACGTATATTATGTTAAAAATAGATTTTTCTCTTATGTCTTCTAAAAATAACTTCACCGTCAAAAGATTGAATAAAGTATAGTTATAATATTAATCATATGCATTTATCGTCAAGGATTAAGTTTGATTTTATTTTTTATTCGCAGCAAAAGAAGAAGGAAAAAAAAGCCACTATAGTTATTTTTACACTGTGATTTGATTATTATTAAATGAATCATATAGTTCTTTACTTGAACCGTTTTCTACAAGGTTAAGGGTTGATGTATGAATGAAGCGAAAAGCTTCATCTATACATCCACAGGGCATTTTTTTTTAAAGATATTTAAAGCTATATTCATTCATTACGTTATTCTACCTATTTGATAATATGGAGTTGGATTAATTAAAACATTTCCATATTAAAATATAAACTTTACATATTTGAAGTATGTTAAGGTATCTAAAAAGAGAGTGAAAGAATTTATCAAAGAAAGTGATAACAAAAAAATTTTATTAGAAATTTTCAAAATTTCATAATATTTCCCGAAATCTGTCTTAGAGAAAGTTCAAGTAAATCAACCAAAAACATAGATAAGAAATTTTTTAAGTAAATTATGAAATGATTCAGTTATTACTATGAAGATATTTTCTGATGATTTCGACGATTATTAATCGAAATTATGAGAACTTCTGAACTTTCTTGTTGATATGGGTTTTCTTTTTAAATGAATGAACAACAATTAAATTTCTATAAGCAATATTTTCTCAAATAATCTAAAAATATTTTAATATGAATTTAGAATGAAGAACTAAATAGAAAAATATTATTTATTTTACTTTCAGATTAATTAAATAGAAAAGTTTATCTGTAATAGATAATTTTCAAATTATATGTTTATAGCATGTTTCGTAACGATACGATTCTACTGAATTTTTATCATTATTTTTCTTTTATTGACTTCAAATCTTGATTTTTTTGTACCAATATTTTGCTATTTATCTTTACAGAACTATATTTACGTCATTATGACCCTTTTTTTTTTTCTTTTATACTCAGCCTGATTTTAAGATTTTTAGTATAAAGCACTTGAAGAACATTGTCAACGAAAAGCAAAGAAAGAGATAAGACTCACATTATAGGCAATTATATGCACGTCATGGAAATTCAATGATGTCACTTTCATACATTTATTGTTTCGATTACAATCTGAAATCATACCTACAGTATATCTCAATATATATGCAAAAAAAACGAACGCCAAAAAGATATAGTTGTTGATTAGAAAAATCATCAAAACAAAGACTATTTTTATAGAGATTATAGAAAATAATTTGACGATGAAGTAAATAATTACTTTATATTTATTTCAATCATTCTTTGTTTCATAATGAATTCATGTTTTCATTAATTTCAATTATTTCAACTTTCAAAAGAGCTAATTTTCCTTTGGTAATTATAATAAATACTTCAGTTGTATCAGCATAATTATTTTCTTATTATTTACGGTTTTAGAAAAGTATAGCATTCATTTTTTTCTTGTAAAATTTTTTATTCATTTAGATTCAAATGTTTTATTATGAATTTATTTTACAATCAAAATAGTATATCAATATTTTATATGTTTGAAGATGAATTACGCATCGTTAAAACCTGCAAAAACAAAAATTACAATCTTCTGTGACAAACTATTTTTTTTTATATTTGAATAATAACCGATTAAAGACGTACATTTTCGTTCTGATGCAAATAATTTTCAAATTGGTTACTTCACCTATATATATATATAAAGAATAGAATAAATAAACAGAGTATTAAAGGAAAAAGCAAAAAAACAAAAAACAAGAGACTTTAAAGTTTGCACTGAAACAAAAAAACAATGTTGTTATATCATTTACACTTTTTTGATCAATTTCAACGCTTTAAGTTTAAATAAAATATGTGTTCACTGTAATAACTAATCATTATTTGACTGCAGATCTTATCTTAGGCTGTAATATTAGAATAAGAATTGACAACGTTGTGACGTTATTAAATTTTCTTGATTTTAAGACATAGATCATTACGATTAATTGTTAAAAGTACATTTGGAAACATATCTAATAATTTTCTTTTTTTTTTTTTTTAGGAAAAAAACAATTAGAATATTTAATTTTATTTAAAAAAAAAAATTTGAACATTTCTTCAGTTTAATAACAAAAAAAAAATTCAAAGATAATCTTATATTTAACAGTTTTTATTATCATAGTTCATTTTCAAAAGCAAAATAAATATTAAAATTAGAATCAGCATGCAAAAACTACATATGTTTCAGAAAAAAAAAATTGTTCTCTATAAGACATATGCCTATAGTTATTCCCTTTTGAGCAGTTTTTTTATCCGGAAACTTCGCCTATGGTTTCCATAGGGTTAATTTTACTCAATAGTTTTGCATGCTGACTTTGATTTAATAATTTACATTGATTTTGAACTCAACTATGATAATAAGATCTACTAAATATACAAGGTCATATTTAATCCTTCTATTAATTTTTTTCAATGATAACAACAAAAAAAAAAATTTAAGTACTTTTTATTTTTAGTTCGAAATTTCGATATATTAAAATATTTGATTGAAATCTATCCTTGCAAAATAACCAAATACAATAACAAAATTTTCTATAATCTCATGTTTTGAAACTCAAGAGTATAAAGTAGTAGTGTATCTTTACACACATATATATATATTCAAACATATGAGTGTATTTATTATATTTAAAGATCGATGTTGTTGAATATCATCATCATGATTTTTTTATTTTTTTTACTTGATTTAACATTCTCCTACAATGTTTGAGCTTATTAACAGTTATTCAATGTGATTGTGTTTAAACTTTTATAAGTTTTTTAAATATTGTCAAAGACTTTCTTTTTACTGTTTTATAAAAAAAAAAGAAGAAAAATTTATTCATATGAATCATTACATTTATTATCAATGACATCATTTAAGATTATTTTTCCTATGCTTGATAATTCTTATATGACTTTCAGTTCTGTTGCGAAATCAAACTTCTTTTTACCTTTATCTTCAAATATTTTTCTTCCCGTAAATTAGCGACAGCTTACATAGTTAAAAATATATGACATAATTTAATACATATATATCAGTAGTATATTGTCATGAATCATATCTGATTTGACAGTATGATATGCGAATAAATAGGTATGTTAGGCCTTGGACTAAAAGATTGAATGAAGTTGATTAAATTTTTGTGTATTCAAGATACTTGAAGTAATCGCCAAGATCTTGTCATCCAAAAAAATTCTTAATTTATTATAAAAAGAAGAAAATGTTTCTGTTAAATTAATACCATTACTAAAAAAAAATATATACAGAATGACCTAAATATCCCCTACGAAAAGTAAGTTCGTATAATTGTATCATTTATTGAATTTGATCAACTAGGTTGTTTTTTTTTCGCAAATGATAGATATTATTGTGAAGTTATTGTTGATACGAACAAATTTTATAAATACTATTCGAAGTTATTATTTACGAATGACATACAAAAATCAATCGTTTTTTATCTCGATTGCAAAAAAACTACAATGTAATTTTTCTGTTTTAATTCTCTAATTTTTTTAATGTTTTATATGACATTTACATCGATCAGATCTTGTACTATCATTTCTATGTATTGATTTTGATATGTCACTACAGAAAGAAGTCTAATGGTATCAAGTCTGATGAAAATGAAATTCATAAGACGGCGCGAGCGGCGGGGGACTCCCCTGCTTGGAGAATTCAAGTTCAGATTTTTTCCTAATTTAAAGAGATTATTAAGCAGGTTTCTCCGATTTGGGAAAAATAATATTGACATCCAAAAAGAATAAATTTTAGGCTACTTTCTCCAACTTTTGGATACCCCTTCCCCTGTTCTGATCTCTTCGCGTCGCTCCTGCGATTCACTTCCTTCAGTTTCTCAGTTGTTGTTCGAAAACATAAACCTATTTCAATGAGCTTCGTAATCATCTGACTTGACATAATTTAGGCTTCTTTTTTTTTTGCGAAGTTTGTCCGTATCAACAAAAATATCACGATAATATTTATTATTTGAAAAAAAAAAGAAAGTTTAATTGATTAACTTTAATAAATAATAGAATTATACAAATATGTATTTTTCATAGGAACTTTTAAAACATTCTATACAACAGAAGTTTTCACACATCAATCGATATTACATACAAGAAAAAAACAAAAAAGTTTATTAAATATTGACGATTACTAAAAAAAAATATCGTTCAAGATATTTTTTTTTTCAAATCATTTATCAATGAAAGATTGAAACTATTTTGTCATTGTCAAATGAAAAAAAAATCAAATATTCTTAGTGAAGAATAAAGGTTATCACTTTTATAAGTGAATTGACATATTCGAAAAAAAATATACCCGAATGATATTGTGAGAAAGAGAAAAAAAAAAGGATAAGCAAGCATCTACGTATGACAACTGAAAATGAAGACAATGAGTATTACAAAAAAAAGAAAAAAGAAAAAGACGTATTCTTCCACTGTCTCATGTGACTTGTCGATAACGTCTATCTTGAGATTAGTCCAACGAAAATTGTGAATCACATCTTTTCTTTAGAATTTCTCATCATTTTTTTGATAAATTTCATCAGCTTTTTTTTTTCTCCTCAGATTTTTCAGTCTTCTTAAATTTGAATTGACTACTTAAAGATACATAAAAGTTTCTTTGAAATTTAAACTTCAATCTATTTTTATTCTTCCTCGGAACTTCTCTCCTAAAAAATATTTTTATTACTTTCGGATCATAAAACGAACTTCTATATAAAAAAAAGAAAAAACTCTTTTTTTCCTCATTTAATTGAAATGCATACAAAAAGAAAAAGTTGGAAAAAAAAAAGGAGTGATGTCAATAAAGTAAATATAATTCTATTTGCTTTGAATATGATTCAACTATACGACGACGCAATTCCCTGACAAACAAATCTCACTTACTCTCTAGTAGTCATTCAGCCTGTTCTTTTTCTCTCTAGGAAGAAAAAGAATGATTCGTTTTTGTCTTTAAAAAAAAAAAAAAAGCGAAAAACGAAAAATGTGACAAACAACATATCCCACTGAATCAATATACACAATAAAGGAAAATATATATATATATATATATACATGCACCTTTTTCAATATTTAGGCAAAGCCTTATAGAGCTAAAAATAAAAAGAAAAAAGAGAATAAAATAACTTTTTTTTTTCTTTTATCAGTATATCTCCCAGCATGAAAAATATCTGTTGTTAAGCATCATACGAAATTCTTGGATACATCGAGTGAGTATTATTCTTTCCTTTCGTTTTACTAATGTAATAAGAATACGAAAAAAAAAACAGCAGAATTCGCACTCAACATGGTCACTATGTTTGCATTTGATATGAGGACAAAAAGAACAGGAAGAGGAGAAGATTGCTCCCACAACGACACGAACAACAGTATTACACAAAAAAATAGCATATAAAAAAACATCTTTTTTTTGTATGTCGCTTTTTCTTTTTTTTCGTCGTCCATTAAATAAAAGATAAGATGAATACCTTCGAAATTTTTCGTTTAATAATATTATTTTATAATATTATTTTATTTATTTTACTTATTTCTTTAGATTTAAATTCATTCGACTAGTAACAATATTTTTTTTTTAAAAATGAAATATAAACAACGTAAATTAATTGAAAATTTTCCTTTCATAATATTATACATCAATATATTTTTAGAATATCCAAAATCTGTTCGACAATTATCAACAAATAAAATATCTAATTATGTTAATAAACAACGTATACGTTGTTCATTATGTGATTCATTACTTAAGGCTTCTACAAGTCATCGATATTTATTAACGGGTAAATCTATTCATGATAATTTAGATAAAAATATAACATATAATGAATGTTGTCAACGATATTTAAATGGTACATATGAATCGGATAAATTACAAATGATTTGTCCAAAATGTTGTCATGACTTACAACGTGTTTATTCATTACATAAAGATGCAGAAGAATTAACAAAAAAAATTCATCATACTTGGTGTAAAACAAAACGTTTAAATCGTACTCGTCATTCACATTTAACATTGATATCAACTAATGAAAATCTTTCATCATCTCCTCTTCCAACAACAGCTACTGATGATAATATAACAATTATAGTTAAAGAAGAACTTGATATTGAACAAGTACCATCAGATATAAAAACACCAATTGAACAATCCCCAATAACTGTATCAGAAACAGTTCTAGCTAATACTTCTTATGATCTGCGAAATACACAACATATTCATAATAAAATAAATACATTAAAAGCATCTCATCAATCAAATGATAATAATAATCAAGAAATATTAAATGAATCTATAAGTAAATTTCGTGTAAGTTTAATAATTTATAATTAATTTTTTTTTTAAATAGATTATTTCTTTTTTTTTTTTACTAAATTTTAGACAAAAAAACAATTACAATCATTATCAAAAACAGAAAATATTAATTCATATTCATCAAGAAAATCTCATCAGAGTATGGAAATTCCTTCATCATTTTTATCTAATCAAACATCTCATTCAATAAAACCAAATTCATTTGAATACTATCAAAATACATTCTATAATTCAACAATCAATAATCAAACTTCAGTATGTTATTTAATAACAATTTAAAAAAGAAAAAATAAAACTTCATCATTCTTTTAATTTTAGTCACCTTATAATCAACTTATAATTGAACCATCATCTCCAACTCATCATCAACAAATATCACAAATACATCGACGTAGTAGTTCAACTAGTGAACAACCACCATTAATAATCAATTATCAACCATCTATAGGTAAATTATAATTATATTTAATTAATAATATTTTCTATTATTAATATTTAAAAAAAAAAAATCATAGATGGTGAACAATCTTTATCACCGAATACAAATGATGATGAAGCTTCATCAACAAATGGTTTAAAAACTACACGTTTAAGTCGTCGTCAATATGGTTTTCTAGTTAAATTACCTGATCAACAATCATTAAATGCTTTTATTGAAACTTCATCATCAGAATCTGGTTCACGATGGACATGGCGTCGAACATCAGCAAATTCACGTGGTTATAAAGTATATTATGTATGTAATTTTTCAATGCGTCGTCATTATCATCCATGTCCAGCTGCAATGTATGCACTTTTTCATCCTGAAGGTAGTATATCAATATATTCATGTGGACAACATCAACATATACCAAAAGATCGTCTACCAGTTAGTATAACTGATGCAACAAAAGATGAAATATTTAAATGTTTACAATCAGGTATGACAACAACAGATATTCGAGAACATTTAGTACGTCTTAAATTACCATTTGGTGATGCAAGAAAATTAAATAATTTTATTAAATATCATAAAGAATTATTACGTTTTGGTACAGTAACAAATGTTCGAATAGGTGGAACAGCTTATCGTCAACCACAATGTTGGGCTATTCGACGACAAACTTCATCAGTACAATCAACATTAACAACGGATAATAATGATACACCAACAACAACAACATCTTAAGAATATTTATTATAAGACAAATGTGTTTTCTTTTCTTTTTTATATATATATAAATGTAATATTTTGTTTAAGAATTTTTCATTTTTTTGTAAACAAGACAATAAAATGATTAAATTATTTATATATATTTTTTTGTTTTGTTTGATTCAATTTATTTTATGACAAAATAAATGTTTTTTTTTAATTTAAAATTAAACAAATTTTTATTTAGAATATTCTCTATAAAAAAAAAATTCAAACGATATCTATAATTGTACAATGACAAATGATGCAAATGTATTAAAAGTAAATGAATACCAACCAATTTATTGAATAAATAATCAACAAAGAAAAAAAAAAAACTATGACAATCACTGAAACAGATGATAGAAAAGAAAAAACGAATGTAAGCAACAATGAGTAAAATGGACATACTCATAGTTAAAAACAAATTGTGCAACAGTAAAGAAAAAGTTTGTTCGATAAAAAGTGAATAATAAATGTCGTATTGTAACTAAGAGAGAAAAAAACGAATTGTAATAATCAAATAAAATGAGCGTGACTGAGAATAAGAAAATCTAAGAAACAATAAATATGAATAAATTTACATACAAGAAGATGAAAGAAAAAAAAATATTGATGATAATCAATCCGTACTCTCTCAACCCTTTATATTGAAATATGTTAGAGTCTTCTATTATTAACTTTTGACTATTTCTATTCGGTAAAAAAACATTTAATCTAATGGAATTGATTTCTGCTGAAAATCTTCTAAAAATAAATAATATGAAGAATCACCGTTATAAAAGAGAAAGATTTTTTTTTATAAGGCTAAAAGTAAAGCACTGCATTATGATGAAATTTCCCATTATCCCAAGAGATCTAAAAGAAAAAAAGGTAATACGGTTAAAAAAATAGCCGTCTACATATTTTGAAACAAAACTTTCCAAAAAAACAACGAAAGAACCGATGACATTACGAACGTAACTGGCATCAAATTTGCAGATATTATGTCTCATTCGATATAAATGTTAGTGTTCAATCTAAGATTTGAGTACTTGAATCGAACAAAATTCAATTTTGATATTAAAATCATTATTGAATTATAATAAATTGATTGCCGCATGTACTTTTATAATATTTAGTTCGAAAAATTAAGGATTATATTAAACAAGTTTTATATATAAATCGATTAATAAATTAAAAAGAAAAATATTTCACAAAAATTAAAATTTCATTTTCTTCTCTGTTACATTAGTTAATTTTTTTTTTTTTTTATTTATAAAATCTAAATTTTAAAATCATTTTTTTTTTTTGGTTCTAATACTGATATATTTATTAAATAAACTTTATAAAATATAATTAATCGATGATACATACAAAAGTTTAAATATTCTTATGTAGCTTTCTAATTTGAAAAGCAAAAAATAGTGTAGAATTTCTACACTATCTATTAAGTAATTGGTTGAAATATTCGATGAGTACGATTTGTAGCAAATTGAATAGCAATATCAACTTGACGCATCCATGATTTTCGTTGAAATTTAGTTGCTTCAGTTAAACTTTGTATAGCTAATGATGGTAATGTTAAACTAGCTGTTTTTTCCCAATCATACATTATTTCATGATAAAGTTTATCATTACCATGTAATATAAAACGATAATCAACTTTTTGACGTTCTTTAGGTAAAGGAATTTTAGCTGATGATTCTGTTCGTTGAATATCAGGTAATTGAATTTTTATTGATTTTTTTTTTGCTTTTATTTTCATTTCTTTTTGTTTCTTTTTTGCAGTTAATGCTGTACTAGCTCGTAAAGTTTGCCAATTATTATTTAAACCACGTCGTGCTCTAGCCCATTCAACACCACTTAAATGACGTAATGTTCGTCCATCTTTATCTGGTTTATACATCATTTCTTTTAGTAAACGAAATCGTTCAACAAATAAACGAATACGAAATGGAGTATTTGAATTTACTGGTGAATTTGATGAAAGTGATGATGATACACGACTAATTGTTCTCGGAACATTCTAGAAAATAATACATATAAGAAATATTCATAAATCGAAATTTTTTTTTGTTTGTTAAGATATATATGATTAATCCTAATTTTGCTCTATTCTATCAATCAAGTAAAGGTTTTTATTGAAATATACTTGTCGTTTTGATGATAATAATGATTCATCTGTGAGAAGACCTGATTCAATAAGATCAATTGCATTTCGAAGAAGAAATGTTTCAAAACGATATAAATTAGCAACCTATTTAAATAAAACAAAAAAAAAGAACTTTCTATTTTATATCAAAACATACTTTAGCCCATAATATTTTTCCTGTACTCATTCCTCCTGGATTAGGATGAATATCTAATGATGTTGTATCTTTTATTGGTTGAGTTATTGTTGAATTTGTTGATGTATGTTTTATTTGTGTTGAAGTTGATGCAACAAAACTTATGAAAAAAAGAAATATTTCAAAAAATTATTTTTACTCAAATTTAAAACATACTTTTTCATATAATTTTCCATATTTTTTAATTTATGTTTTTCTCTTTCATCAAGTGTAATACATACTTGTCGTGTTTTTTCTTTAGCATATTCAGCTGTTGAATAATAATCTTGAAAATCATTATTATGTCCATCAACTAATATTTTATAACCTAATAATGATTCACCATTATTAATAAATGGTTTACGTTTTAATGAACTATATTGTAAACCATATTTAATATATATACGTTCACGTGCTCTTTCAGCCCATTGTTTAAATACATAAACATGACGATGAGGTAATGTAATTTTATTAGCTAATTGTATACCACCAAATTGTTTTGATAATATAAATAATGCTATTTCACGTTGTTTTGCACTAGCTTCTTGACGTAAAGCTAATCTCCATGGTTTTATACCATAACCATCAGGTTTTTGAAATATACCAATATCCCGACTACCACATAAAAGAACAATACCAACTTGTTGAAACATAATAGCTTCATGTATTGGACAACGAAAATATTCAGGATGAAGATAATCAGATGAACACCATTGACGAGATGGATGATGACCAACTGGACGATCAGCTCGTGCTCCTAATTGACATAAAGCTCGAGCCTAAAATAAATATTTTTGCAAAACTAAGTGTTAATAGAAAGAAAAAAAAAACACACTCACTAAATCAACATTTCCATAATGAGCAGCAATATATAATCCAACTTGAAGCATATATTGTCGAACAAGTTCATCTGAACTAAGTAATTTTAATACAGCTTTTGTATAGCCTTTAATAAAACCAAAGAAAAAAAAAGCTGTTAACGCGATATTTATGAAATTAAAAAGTATGAAACATGATATAACTGCTGTTAACTGTAATTTAGAAAGTAGTTCACATATTATAACTAAGAATTCTTCAAATATTAAATTACTTTTGCTTTGAAACTATGAGTATTATATAAATCTAAACGAACTATGAATACCTTAAATAGAGTTTGTATCCTTAACATATTTTTTTTTTGAATTTCAACTTAAAACTTGCATGAAGACAGACTTTTGTGAATGTTACAGTTAAAAGAAATTGAATATTTGAAAGATTTTTCTCATTATATATATATATATATATATCTGTAGAAAAGGAAATTTTGACAATATCTTTTAGATTGTGTTTCATAAGAAATAAAAATTTTTGATATTTAATACCTTTTATTGCATAAGTAAAAAAATCCGACCATCCAATCCATGTTTGTATTGTTAATGTTGCACGATAACCTATGAAAATAAATCTTGTTTTTGTTAAATTTTCTCTAATATAAATTAATTATTAATAATACAAACCTATATCATATTGTGATAATCTTACATGATCAAATAATTCATTATTTTTATCATTAACAAGACGAAAAGCAGATAATGGTAAACCTGATCTATTACTTGCAACGATTCGTAATTGAAGAATAGTTGTTTCAATTGGATGTAAATTTGAATCAAATATATCAAATGTTTCATTTCGAATAGGTAAAAAAAGACGATAATCAGGTATACGATCTATATATATTAAAATAGACAATATATTTTTTTAACTAACATATACAATAAAATTATTTATTAATTTTACTTCAACTATTAAAAATGAAATAATTATATTCTTTAAAATAATGTTTAATTGAAAAATTAAATAAACATTTTTTTCTATGACCGAGTCTATCTTTATTTTTCTTATAATTAAAAACGAAGAACATGTTCATATAAAAGTCTGTCCGCACTCTTAGTCTATTAAATATTCATATAAATCCTGTAATAAATTTCTCATACTCAACATGGCCATTGAAATTGAAAATTGAATGATTTCTAGTAGATTAAAGTCAGAGAAACTAGTATGCTATCAATTAACATATAAAGATTGTCTGTAATTTAACTCTATCGATTTGTATTTTGCCATAAGGCAATCATTGAAGCTCAACTTTCAGTTAGCATAACAGTTGATAATAACAAACTAATGACAATATTTCTGATCTTTTTTATTCTAAATATCATTAAAATCTATCGACAAAATTGTTCTTAAACTACTCGACATAAAATTGTGTATTAACAAAAATATATGACATGTCACGAGTGAATAGAATTTGTTCTCTAAAGACGATCTTGCCCTTTTTTATTAAGCAACTTCAAATATTCATTCAACCAATCTAATAAAACTCATTATTGCTTCAAATATAAGAATTTCATGACCATAACGAATACACATATCTAATTATAACTATGATTCGTGCCTAAACAAATATCGGTCCGTTTGTAGTATATGCATTTAATTATAGACTATGTGTTGTTTTTTTTTTTTGTTTTAAAAAATAACAAATAATTTAAATAAATAAATGCAAACAAGAGACAAAAAAAAAATAAACGATAATTTAAATACAAACCTTCAATAACTGCACATTTTACTGTTGCTCCAAAACGTATTTTTATATCGTTAAGAAACCAATCTGATTGTAATTCTGTATTATCATATATTAATGATAAACGTCGATTATCAAATTCACCAGTACCAGTTTCAAATTGAAATCGATCTGTAATCCATTCTAAGAGATCTTTTACAATTGAATTTTCAGAAGATTTTTCATTTTGATAAATAACACGTTCACCGGTTGGTTCAAATAATACAAGAAAATACATTTGGCTTCTTTTCTATGTATGTATTGTTAACAAAATAAGTTAGAAATGATATTCAATTATTTCTTTTTTTTTTCTTCTTTGTTACCATCACCTTGGTAAGCATATAGGGATAAAAGAAGAGAAAAAAAAACAAGTCAAACTCATTTGTATAGAAGACGATGTAAATTTATTGAATTTTAATGACGATCACAAAAAAAAAGAAGGAACAATACACGCAAACAAGAAAATCGCATAAATTTAGTTTCTTTTTTTTTTTATTTTTCATTATCAAAAAAAAATTTCTTTTGATTACTAAAACGATTCAAGTTGAATGAGAAATAAATTTAATAAAATAGTATTGATGATCATGTCTTTGTCGGACCTAGATTTTTTTTTTGTTTTTTGCCGTTTGTCAATAAGAAGAATCGCTTAAATAGATAATAAGAAAATGAAATAAAGGTCGCTGTTATTTAGTCATCCTTACATCGTTTATTGTTAATACGTATGTTTGATGAAATTAAAAAAAAAACAAAATTTCTAATCCAATATGGCACGAGAATTGAAAATAAAGTGCTCGTCTTATTAATTGCCTTTATTACTTTGAATAGAGAAAGAAATAAGAAAAATTTTGACATTTTTGTTTTCCTTTCATCATCATTTTTTTTTTTCGTTTCAGTACTGATTATTTTTTATATTCTTAATTAATTGCTGTCATCTACTAGTGAATTCTTTAATTTATTATCGTTTTTTTAAAGATAGAAGTTCTCAATCATCATAAACATCATCTTTTTCTTTTTTTTTTTCTTCAATACTCAAGATTACAATGAAAAAAAAAAAAAAATCTTCATTCAAGAGAGAAAATGTCATTTGTGCACGAGCGCACATTCTCTCTCTGTCTGTCTGTCTTTCCCTATAAGTTTACTAGTTGATTGGAATGCATACCATAAGATAGTGAATACAACTAAGTTGTTTCTGTTATTGATAGAATGAGATTGTATATGTGAATCTCTTACCAATAAAACAATTTTTCTCATTTTTCATCTATGTATATATTCAACATCATAAAACATATTAATCTATTTAGTTATCTTATATTACAGATGTATTTTATTTTAATATTGTCGATCACGTAATGTTTTCGAATGTATTCCGAATGTTGGATATTTTTTATTCTAATTATTTTGAGTAATGGTAATCAAACAAATAAATCAACTACATTACATATTGGTGCATTATTTGATTTTGATCATTTATCAAAAGACAATGGTCGACATGAATTACAAGCAGCTCAAATAGCTATTGAAGAAATAAATTTTCGTCAAAAAGATTTATTCAATGGTCTTTATACACTTACATTATTATCAAATAATTCTCGAGTATATTAAAAAAACAAAAAAAAGAAGCAGAAGAATAAAATATTTTAATTTTTATTCTATATTTACATTTTATTATATTTAGTGTGATCCAATTTATGCTGTTGATGCTTTCTTTCATGCAATTTTTCGTCGTCCACAATTACATTTTCTTGTTGGTACATCATGTTCAAATGAAACAAAAGCTGTCATTCAAGTTGCTGATTATTATAATTTAATTTTAGTAAGTTAAATCAATAAATATAGATAGAATTTTTTTTTTTTTTTTTTTTTTTTTTTTTTTTGTTTTGTTTAATAATAAACATCCGTACGGAAATGAATATTTCTATATAGTTTTCACATTCAACATCATTTATTTCTCAAGCTAATGAATCATATTCAACATTAGTAAGACTTTCTGTATCCGATGAAAATTATAATGATGCTCGTGTAGCTTTTATTAAATATAATAATTGGTCACATGTAGCTATTATTCATCAAGATTCAATTGAACATTCTCTTGTAAATTAAATTTTTCTAATAGAAAACAAAAAAATTTTTTTTTTTTTGTTGAATCTTTATTTTTAAGATGATGGCAAAATTAGCTAAACATTTAAATGAATCAAATATAAATGTTATACTTACTCAAAGTGCATCATGGCTTAATCTTACATCAGCATTACAAAATCTTCAAGTATTTATTTTTAAAATTTTATAATAATAATTTTTATGAGAAAATGTATTTTTTTTGTTTTGAAGGAAAAAAAAGCTCGTATTATCTTTGTTAATTTTGATACATCATTTCGTGCTATATTTTTTTGTGAAGTATATCGTACATTTATTAAAGAATTACGTGAACGTTATGTATGGATATTAACTGGTAATGATTATGATTTATGGAATTTTTCAAGAAATAATTGTACAAAACAAGAAATTCTTCATGCAGCTCGTGGTCATATTATTATTGATAGTTCATATAAAAGAAAATCAAGTTTAATTAATCCAAATATGGTAAATTTAATAATAAAGAAAAACAAAAAAAAATCTATTAATCATTTTTTGTTTCTAGACAGCACATCAATTACAACAAAAACTTCATGTAAATGGTCATCTTGATAGGCAAACGTTGCATGCTTATGATGCTATATGGGTAATTGCACTTTTAATACGAACGTCTTTAGATCTCAAGTAATAATCTACTTATGAATACAAAGTGTTTATTGAATTATTTTTATTTTTTTCTACTATAATAGTATATCGGTTGATGAATTTACTTATAACTCAGTGCATATAAGAGATGATTGGTTAAATTTAATAGAACAAATACATTTTCTTGGTGTTTCTGTAAGTAAAAAAATTTTTCTTTTCATTTAAAATAATTCTATTTATAATTATAAAAAAAAAAAATTTTTTTTTGTTTACTATGATCATTATTTTGATGACAGAAAAATCTAATTTTTGATAATTATACCTATACTAAGCTTTATTATTTGTTAAGACACTTTTTTTTTTCTTTTCTCAGTATTATTTGCATGATTACTATTAATAGAATAATTTTATCTTATCAATTATATTCTTTTTATTTTCCGATTAAATCTAATCAAATTTTTGTATTTATAAAATCTATTAGCTAGATTTTTAAGTAAACTTTACTTTCTTTTGTATATAAATATTTTAATATCATTATTATCTAATATATAGAGATTAATATAGATAAGATTAATAAAAATTTCATTATGTAAAAAAAAAGAAAAAGAAATAAGATTAACAAAGTTATTTTTCTTCTAGGGACCTGTTTCATTTCGAAATCGTCAACGACAAGCTGAAACAATTATAAGTCAATTTCAAATTGATTTATATCGACCAAAAATTCGTACTATTGCTGAATATTCACATCTATCAGAATTTAATATCAATTGTTCGAAATGTCGATCATTAATTTGGCCAAGTAAAAAAAAAAAACAAAAATTTATTATAATTTCAATACTCAAAAATAAACATTTTTATTAATTTAGATACAATTCCAGTAGATACAGAACGAAGTGAAATTCGACGAGTTGTTTTAAAAATTGCTGAAATTATATTTATTAGTGTAGCTTGTATATTTGGTCTTGCTTTAGCCATTTTCTTTTTAACATTCAATATTATTCATCGACATGAACGGTAATTTAGTTTAAAAGAGAAATGACATCTTTATAACTCAAACGGAAAGAATATAATAGAAAAGGATATTGCCTTCATTTATATTCGTTCAAAACGGAAGACATTCATAGAGAAAAAAAAATCATCAAAAGCAAAAAACAAAGCATAGAATAGAATCATCTTTCTTTCTCTCTCTTCTTCTTTTTCTTAGTAATATATGTCAGATTATTGACATTAAGTGAATAAAATAAGAACATAATAAATTTCAATTTCTAGACAAAAAAAAAGAAAAAAATTAAAAGTTCTTTACAATACTAATTGATGAAATAAAAGTTTTGAGACAAAATGTTCTTTTTACCGATGAAAATAACTAACAAATACTATAAAATATTGTTTCTAAATTAGAAATTTATGCTTGTTACGAATCTTTTTTCTTTTTTAATTAAACTCATATTTTTAGAATTGAGAGCAAATCTTTAAAACAAAAACAATGCCAAGTAAAATATTCATAGACAGAGAATTTGACCCTATCATGTTTGAACTTATTGCCATGAAATATTTTGTAATTATAATGTAGAGATGCTTGATATTGTTTAAGTCATATTTTTCTTCTATTGATCACATCACGTTTTGGACTGATATCCAAAGAATTGACGTCTTTCTTAAGAAAAAATGATGTCCGCTTTTACATATTATCTAAATGTTCTTTTTCTTTTTTACACGGCAGGGTGTATTTTACACAGTGCGTTAAGAATGGAGTTTCTCCACGCAATTCTTCATAAATGAGCGAATATGTTTTGTGAATCTGAAAAATCAGACATTACGAAAATGTTACTTTGTCTTCGTTCAAAATCTTCATTGTTGACGAATGTACCTTACAGGAAAACTATTTATTTAATAGAAAAATGTTTGTTCTTTCTTTTAATATATTTGAAATCAATCTGAAAACTTTATTTTTAATCATTATATAGATTCGTTTATAAATTTTGAAATATGAGAGAAGATTTTATTTCGAAACTTTTAACACATTCGTTATAAGATATTAGATGATATAAACTAAAGAAACATATTATTACAAGAATCAATATGAAATATGCAAAAAAAAAAATTTATTTTATCTAAAAATAAACACATCATTTTTTTTTTGGAATATTCAATTTAAATTAAAATTAATTATCTACGCTTATTTATCAAAGTGTCAAATTAAATATCCGTGAAATTTTTTTTTTGTTATTGTTATTATTTCTAGAAAATAGAAACTTACTATTTTAAAAATATAAAGTAAATCAGAAAGTTTAAAATTAATTTTTCTATCAAAATAGAATTAGAAAACTAGACATTCAATGAATACATTATCTGTAAACCCATCCCCATAATAGAAGCCCCTCCCATATTAGAAGCCCCCCCTTATTAGAAGCCCCCCTTGGGGGGGTCTCTCCAGCAAAATTTTCAGTGTTGCCCAGCAAAACCCGGCCAAAGTTTGCAGGGTCTAATAGAAGCCCCCCGGGGGCTTCTAATATGGGGAGGGGTTTACATGAAGAAAATAAATATTAGGCTGCAATCTACTACCCAGTCAGACAAACGTTACAAAAAAAAAGGCGTTTTTTTATAAAACGCTTGTGTCTGACTGGATAGAGAAAGATATGTTCTTCATATTTATGTTCAAATAATAGCTAATTGAAATTCAATTAGAAAAATACTTATCTAAAATAATGAAAAATATTCAGTTGTTCTTTTTTTTCTTAAATATTTTTAGTTATATCAAATTATCAAGTCCTAAATTAAATAATGTAATGGTTATTGGTGCAATGCATATTCATATAGCTATATTTCTTTTTGGTTTTGATCAATGGTTTCTTGAACATAATATTCTTGGACATGCATGCATAGTAAAAATTTATTATTGTTTTTTGTATTTACAAATTGATTTTGTTTTGAATGATTAGTTACGTATATTTCTTTTTTCTGGTGGATTTTCATTAACATTTGGTTCAATGTTTTTAAAAACTTTACGAGTTTATCGTATATTTACATCACATGATCGACCATTACTTCATTCAAAAGTTTGTTTTTTAATTTTAAAAAATAATCTCTTGAAAATTTTATGTTTTATTGTTTTTTTTTAATTTTATAGCTTTTACAAGATTATTATTTATTACTTATATGTTCACATATCTATAGTATTGATGTTATTTGTACAATTATTTGGCAATTTCTTGATCCACATTTTATAGAATTTACTTATGGATCGGTAAAATCCTTTTTGTTTTTTGTTGTTATTGATTTATTATAGGAAAAAAAAAAAGAGAAATCTACTTTGTAAAAGCAGTTTTATAGATTCGACGCCTTGATATGGATACAGTTGTTTCGGATGAAATTTATCATTGTAATTCCAAATATCGTCAAAAAATTTTACCATTTATTTATTTCTATAAATCTTTATTTCTTATTATTGGTGGTTATTTAGCTGCTAAAACTCGTCATGTTCATATATCAGCATTAAATGATTCAAAATTTATTGTTTGGAGTATATATATTGTTGTATTAACTAGTCTATTTACTTTTATTGTAATGATATCAATAAGAAATTTACATACATATATTGTTTTATGTTTTGTTGTTATTATAATGACAAATATTATTATATGTGTTGTATTTTTACCTAAAGTAAATGAATATTATTATATTATAATAGAATATATATATAAATTATATATATATATATATTTTCTAGGTTTTAAAATTAAAAAATCAATATCGAGAAGAAATTCTTTCAAAAGAATTATATATGGATGATTCACGTACAAGACGTTTAGCTGTTGAAATAAGTTATTTTGAAGCATATCGTTATGCACAATTACAAAATCGAGAACTTAAAACCGAACTTGTTCGAGTAAGTTTTATGTTATTATTATTTTTATAAAATACAATAATGAAAAAGAAGTATTAAAGTATATAGAGTACAAATTTTCACAGACAAGATCAATAGACATTCCCAGGTTGAAGATTCCGGAGACCGGAACCTGCAG